AGGGTTTGGGTTTTAGAGCTTTAGGGCTTTAGGGTGTTAAAGTGTTTAGGGCTTTAGGGTTCAGGGGTTTAGGGTGCCAGATAGAAGAGTTTTTTCGAGCTGTAGAAAGGTTTATAGGGTTTTGAAGGCTGCGACAAGGCTTGGGCTTTATAGCTCTTGAGCCCTGACCCCTAAACCCCAAACCCTTAACCCTAGCCCCTGAGCCCTAAAGCCTAAACCCCAGCCCCTAAACCCTAAACCCTAGCCCCTAAACCCTTAAACTCTTAAACCTAAACAATGCAAGCTTTAGGGCTTGGGGTTCTTCTGCTGGCCCTTCGCCTCAACACTGGGGATCTTAACTTAACCGCCTTGTCCTTCAGTATCCATCATGGGTTCCAGCAGAGTACTGTAAAGGGCTTTACGGTTGGAGATGTTGAGTTCGGGGTTCCTTTTGTGGGTTCTAGAAGAGTACTACATAGCGTGTTGAGGTTGGGTCCATGTTGGGCCGCTCTTCTCTGATGCTCTGCCAGCAGCAGCCAATGTTACATCCGGGTGTTGATTCAAGGTGTCGGATTGCTTCACTGTTATCTTCGCAGTCATTCTAGCTTCGAGCAACCGGAACAGTGCAGAGTTGAATAAAGCCCTAAACCCCTTGTCGACGCCGTTGAGGACCCACTCAGCCAACAAAGACCCCGCCTGATCGAACCACACCCCAGGAAATTCGATTCTTTCCGCATCTTTTCACGGCGCAGCTGTCTTGCGCGCAGCGTTGGCGGTTATTGGCAAGCGCGGAAGTCTTCAGCCCAGAAACCCAAGCCCTGCAATGTATGAGCCTTGCTACTTCGAACGAGGCTTGGGGTATGCTGTCGTGTAGTTACAATCATGAGCACTATACAAATACGTAACTAGTATGGGTGATTATTCAGTCTTTGAGTTTATCCTAAGACTCTGCAACACCTATGTAATCCTACACTCTGCTTTCGTTCTACAAACCCGTGGAATCCGAGAGCCTACACGGATTTGGAGGTTTAGGGCTTAGGGTTTAGGGTTTAGGGTTTGGGGATTAGGGTTTAGGGTTCAGGGTTCCGAACATAGAAGAAGCAAAGCTTCTGAACCGCCGGGCTAGACAGGCCCTCAGCGGTGGAGCAGTTAATTGGTTCGACTCTGGCAAAGATGGGGCCTGCCCCTCCTGATCTTAAGTTCTAGGGTTTAGGCTCTTTCTTATCCTATACCCCTAACCCTAAAGGGTTCAGGGATTTGGGGTTTGGGGCGTCGGTGCAGGGTGGTGCACGTAAGCTTAGGAGTAGAGCGCTTGGGCGCCGATGGTTGATCGAAGTTGCAAAACGATCGCCCTAAACCCTAAACCCTAAACTATTATCAAAGCAATCTGCTACTCAGAGGCCTTAAACGCTAGAACTGATAAGCCCTAAACCCTAACATCGGGGTCGATTCGGGTTTAGGTTTTAGGGCTTATAGGGTTTAGGGTTTATGTTTTGGGGTTTAGGTTCTAGGGTTTATGGGGTTTAAGGTTGAGGGTCTAGGGTTGAGGCTTCATTGCAAGAAGCAGGAACTGTTCTGTTCAGTTTAGGGTTTAGGGTTTAGGATTTAGGGCTTAGGGATCTGATCCCTGTGGGCCCAAACTGAAAAACACCTGAACGGCTCCTTGCTGGCCTCAAGTGTGACGTTTGAAATAGTCCCTACGGGAACTTTTATGGCTGTTTGCTCAGCGTCTGGAAGCTTCCGGGATTGTGGGCTTGGGATTTGGGGTTGAAGCCTTCCTCCCCAAACCCCCAACCCTAAACTTACTGTAAGCCCCTGAAGCTTGTTCGTTTCTTCGAGGCGCCAAGCAATGGCTTCCAAAGGGGGAGGGGGCTGGCCAGGGCTTTGGCCGCACCTTTCAAAGAAGGTGCATTCGGAACCAATCCTTTGCTGGAAACTTCGGAGGATCGGAACTGGCTCAGAACTCAGGAGCCAAAGGATGAGAACCCTCCATGGCCGCTGAGAGGATCTACGACAGCTTAAAACGCGCCCCAGGCCCAAACCTTTCTCCCTTGAGGTGAAAACCAGATCAGCATGGAACCGAAGGAAAGGCCTTTTGAGCGGAGATTACCGACTGAAGGCAGCCATTTTAAGGGGTTTAGGGTTTAGGTTTGGGTGGTTTGTTGCAGGCCTCGAAAGATCATCGATCCCTAGTGGAAAAAAACCTTAAAAACCTAGTATAAGCTACGGTACACATGACAATCTACAACAGACCGCCAAGTATCTAGGTTGGTCTGATAAGACTAACATAGATATCGTTGAAATAAGACTGAGAATCGGACCAGCAGTAGCAAGAGTAGTCACAAGATGCAGGCTCACTGATTTCATCTCCCAAGACTTTCCAATCCCTGAAGCCTAGCAGTTTCCGATCTTCCACGAAGAGCATCGTTTTCAAGCTTAAGACTTGGACACCCTAAGGCTCCATGTACCGATACAGTTTTTTCCTACCCTTATAGAACCCTTGAATAAACAGCACCCCGAAGGGTACATGGAGCCTTAGGAACACAGGACTCCGAGTCTTTGGGTGTCCTGGGAGACATGGATGCTCAGGGTTTTTGGGGTTTCGTGTTCTAGGGCTTAGGGGTTTAGGGTTTAGGGTTTAGTGTTTAGTGTTCTAGGGCTTTGGGTTTTCTGTTTCTTCGCATGATTACAGTCTGGAGTTTAGTCTCTGGTCTAGTGGTCAGCTTGTGGCTACAGGCAGATGGATGTATGCTCCAACCTACACTAGCTGTGCTGCTCATTGCCCTCGTTAGCCCGTGATTGCAAACCAATGCAAAGTACATAATGTTTAGTAGTAGAACACATATAAAACAATACTATCTAGCCAAATATAACACAATACACTAATATGCAGCCGTGTGATATAAACTAGCCGATCTAACCCAATCCAATACAATCCGATTCAACACAATATAGTACAGTACAATACAATATCATGTAATATCATGTAAACTAAGTTAACTGAATATTCACATTGCAATGGAATGTAGTGCATGTAACATAATGTAACATGTTGCAACGCAGTGTAATGTAAAAAATTTATGCATCTTAGGTTTTCAATCTAGTTCAATAATGCAGCGCAAGATAATGTTATGATATACTGTGGTATAATCATGCAACATAATACAAGATCATGCTATATAGCATGATACAGTACAAGGTAAGATATAATAGAATGAAACGTAATATGTACAGTACAAGATGAGATAAGATATGATATAAGATAATCCATACAACATGACATCAAAAGAATATGGGACAATATAACATATTGCAATACGACATAAGACTGTGGGTCAACTTGGTATAGTACAAGCAGGATGTAGGTACTGTGATATAACATGATGTGATATACTGTGGTATAATATAACATGGTATAATGCGCTAGAACATAACGTAATAAAAGAAATATAAATCGATGAAATATAATATTAAAGTATAACAACAACATATGAAAATATGACGTCACACCCTATGTCAGTCATATAACATCGTATGAGAACATATAGTACCATATAATAAAATCATATAACATCAATCCAAATCATAAAATCTTATCGGCTATCACAAAACATCATATAATCACATCTAGCAACATATATCACACGGTATACTATAGTATAGTATAGTACGGTGCAGTACAGTACAGTAGCACTGTAGAGCATAGTATGTAGTAGACTATAGTATGGTGTAGTGTAACAGAATACAAAATAGCTTTATCCTATATGTAGGAAATCTATTGCAAGATTGTATAACAAAGAGACATATCATTACATAGTATGTTATGTTTTATTGTGTTTGCTGTTACTGTTACGTTATATTCTAGTATTTTGGTATCATTTTGCAACGTCTAACATAGCACCATACCATAAAACATAGCGTACTTTAATGTGACGTACTTGAATATAGGGTCGTATGAAAAGAGCAGGATAGAAAAGAACAGCATAGAATGGCATACAATAGAGAGCATATAACTTACGGTGGATGTTCTATACCACATACAGTATCTAACCTATAATCTGTATTGCACAACCTGAGCTCAATCTATACTATATGCAAACTACCCATGAGCCTCCTGGGTCTCGTTTCAGCGTTTCTCTTAGATGCAGGTTCTGGACCGGTCCCCAAGGACCGCCCTGATCCCAGGATCGACCACCACTTCTCAGATACCTACCGGATTCAGTACCAAAGGCCCGCTCATCCCATAAACCCCTAAACCCTGATCTTTAAGGCCTAAGCCCTAAGCCCTAAATCCTACCCCTAAACCCTAAACCCTGATCCCCAAGGCCGACGCCCTTAAGCCCTAAATCCTACACTCCGAGTTGCAAAGCTGCACCTTCCTACCCGAAACTTAGGACACGTTGAGGCCTGAACGACCCAAGGATCCCTTGCAGGGTTCCTCTAAATGTTTTGTGAAATGTGGGTATTTCTTGGTTTAAAATGCCCTGTGTCTTGAAATATGGGTTTAGGGCTGTGGGCTTGGGGCTATTGTAACGGTTACTTTGTCGAGTTGTTAAATAAGATACTGTAAGGGTTACTGTAGGAGTGTGGTAAAGAGTATAGGGTCCGAAAACGACAGTGTTTGGCCGTACATTATGGCATACGTATTTTGCGGAACCTGAATGAGAAATACCGTGGGCAATTATTCAGGCCCATGTATTCGGCTGATTGTGAAACCCCCGACTCCTCAACACGGCGTACAATCGGGATCCTAGGAGCCTCAGAGGAACGCGCTTCTAGTAATCCGGGGTCTACATTAAACTTATAACTCCCCTGAACCCTAAACCCTGAACACAAACAGATCCTACACACCACAATCCCCCAAGCCTAATCCCCCTACACCCAAGACTTCTTAAGCCCTGCCTGTAGCTGCACTGCATCTCAGAAACCTACATTTTTAGAGAGGGACATATTGACATACACAATTAAATTATTCATGGTCCGGGTTGCGGTGAGCCCTGAACCCCGAGCCGCCAGACAGATCACATTCTGTTCATCGTCGGCAGTTCCACTTCCCGCGCGTCCCGAAGCCGTTGCGCTTCGACGTCGCGCCTGGTTCGGCTCTCTTAGCGATCAAGGCTGGAATGCCAAACCCTCTAGAACCCTGCAGGGATCCTATTATAGAACCCTGTAGTACCCTTTTCAGGAGCCCTCAAGAGGACCCCTTTAAGGGGACCCGATTAAACTCTGGGGCTTCGGGTCTAGGGGTTTTGGACTTTCGTGTTTCGTGTTGCGCTGCTTGGTTTGGGGTTTAGGGGATTAGGGCTTTTGGGGTTTAGGCGTGGCAGAAGCCATCATGGAACCAAAGAGAATGTTAGCTTCAGGGAATGGCAGGGGTTGGTAATCTGGGTGGGTGACGTACGCTATTTCGTGTTGTGTGCACATATTCAACCCTGAGCCCTAAACCCTAAACCCGAATTTCTGATTTAGGGGCAGGATGTTGGGCTCTTGCTGGCCATTGACGAACTGCACATCCTGAAGCCCCTTGCCCCCATCCCGGACAAGTTGGATCCCTCGAGGCATCGAACCTTAGCCTTTGGGTTCCTAAATCCTCAACACCTTCGACCCGAAATCCAAAAGCCCGTTTTGAGTCCTAGACACATAACCCTCTTGAACCCTTTTGCTAACCCGGGCCTGCCGCGGAGGACGATAAAGCCGGCAGACACAGCCAACAGTGCGGCAAGGCCCAGCACCAAAGGCAACCAGCCGCCTACACAGCGGGGTGGAGTTCAAGGTGACCTTCATTGAGATGGCCCCTGAAAAACAAAGCCCTGAACGCAAGAATGCATTCCTGAACTGCCCACATCACAGTCAACCTGGGAAAAGGGGGTGCGTTCGTTGCCGCCGCATTTTACGTACACTAATGGCAACGGCACTGCCAAACTGAGGAGGAGGAGCAGGAGGAGTGGTAGCAGTAGTTTTTGTAGTAGTAGCGGCAGTAGCGGGGAGGAGGAGTAGTAGGAGCAGTTGGAGTAGGAGCAGCACTATCAGCAGCAGTAGCGACAGTAGTCGTTGCCACCGCCATCGTCGTTTGCGTCATCATCGCGGCAGTCGTAGCCGTAGTCGATATCGCTATTGCTTCTACTGCCACTCTCCTCCTCCTCCTGCTGTGACTACGACTTTATGATTACATAGGACTACTATCTTTTGCGAAAATGATCGCTACTTTTGCTTCCAGTTCGATGTTTACCATCACAGTCCATCCTACACTGTCAGGCTGTTTTGCGGGACGCCGAAGCCCAGCTCTTTGCACCCTGGGTCTTGGGGCTCGCCATACACCCCACATCCAAAATCTCCAAGGGATCGGCAACAAAACAAACACGCAGGAAAGCGAGTTCCTATGATTGTCTGAGCTCGCCTTCATCCTCCGGGACCGTGGTGGTTGTTTGAGTTTCAGTCACGGTGGTGATAGAGGTGGTCGATATTGTGGAGGTAGTGACCTCGCATCGCACACGAGATTCCGCATCCTAGGATTCAAACTTCCGGAAACCCGCTCCGCCAAATCCTGCGTCCGGAGCATGTAATCATGCTTCAAGTAGAACTGACAAACACGCAAGTTTCAACCGGGACTCTAAAGTCTAAACCCTAAAACCTGAACACAACCCTAAACCCCAAACCGATAAACCCAAACCCCAAACCGTTTAAATTTAGCATCTGGGTTTCAGTGCCCAGTCGCTGTAGTCGAGGTTACAGATGTGCTTGTCAATGTCGTCTCGGTCAAGGTGATCGTTGTGACCGTCGTCCGGGTCGAAGTGGTCTGAGTGTTTGAAGTCCTCGCTGGGGACTGGCTTGATAATGCATTCCTCCCCTAAACCTCAAATCCCTAACCTCCCAAACTTCGCAATACTTCCACTGCGGAGCCAGCTTTTCGGGTTTAATGTCTAGGGTGCAGGCAACAGCAACGAAGAAAAGAAGCAGGATTAGTGGTAACATGTGAACGACATCGTGGTTATGTCCTACTCCTCGTCCACTTCTGACCAATTGCCATCATCATCTTCTCCTCAACAACAACAACAAAATGGCAATCGCCATCAGCATTACCATCGCAATGGAAGTGCCTCTTCGAGGGACTGCATGTAAATGCTGCGTTAGTTTCTCATTGCTGAACTACGGCTGTGCCATTGCTGACTACAAGTTAGACACATACAGTCTACCTTGCAGTCGACGCATCAGCTGAGTAAACAGCTTGAATACTTTATCTTCAAGATCTGCGTTCGGACACGAGCTTGATCGTGATCATCACTGCAAGCGCCTGCAGAAGTATAAGCTTAAACCATTGACACACACAACTTCACCTACACATGCAAAGCGAACTATGACTGAAGATAGCAGCTATAGCTATCTATCACAACAAAATTTCATGCATCTGCCACCACAACACTAACCCTAACTTCTAAATCATAACTAGCATTAAAAAGTACCGTCATAGCTCCACGGAGGCACATCAACAAACCACAACCGCAGCATGGTCATCATCAGAAGCACAGCCAACTCTAATCGGGAAACCGTAAACCCAAAGCATCAACAACAAACCTGGCATGCCCTGACTATCTAAACACAAACTTCCTAGTAGGAAACCTTGTAGAACCCTTCAAGCACCCTCAACCCTCCTCGTGGTGGTGGGCCCAACGTGTGGGAACATGTACCCCTTCTCGAGCAGATCTGGTGGTTCCATCGCGGGCTCAGGCACTATTTTGCCGACCGATACTGTGGAGAGGCCGAAGCATTCGCCATAGGTGACCTGAGCCCTGTAGGGCGGGCCGAGGCAGACGAGAAGGGTTCACAGTTATAGCATGATGATATGGGTAGTTCTCTAAATTAGGGTCGCTTTGGGGGTCGTTTTTATGCCGTACTATATTGAAGCCCTAAAAAACGACCCTAATTTAGAGAACTACCCACCCAAGGACAATAAGAGAACAGAAGTATTCAGACCCCTATATGACTGATGTTTTATGCGGTCGGAAATGCCTTTTGTGGAAGCTGAGACGGCGGGTTGGGTCGCGAGGAGAATACGCTGGCTCGACTCTAGGTGGAGAGCTGGCACACGGGACACAGGGCGAAAGGTTCTGAAGAATGCACGGAAGTGATGTTTAAGTGCAAGGGCTTGGCTCGAGTCTGTACTTTCTGCGAACTGGCACCTTGTGCAGGACGACTGAATCGTTTGGATGTGCATAAACGAAGCATACTTGCGCAACACTGCAGGCATTGCTGTGCAACCTAGCCGCATTCCATGCAGCAGTGCAAATTGCAGGGTTGCCTTTGTACCTCGGATTAGCCGGGAGCTGTGATTGAGGATGCCCAATATCAACGCCGATAAGGCTGCTTTCCAAATCAGGGGACCATGAAAAAAGACCCCAACAAGGGACTCTAATTTAGAGAATCACCCAACAAACAACAGCAATAGCCTCAGCAGCAGTAACCGCAAAACGAAGAACTGCACCAATCATTCTCGGAACTGTAGGCAGCCTAACCTATGCAAACAACGACAATTTTTCAATTGAACGCTGCGCGAGTGTGCTCTGCGCTTGGCGAGCGTATTGCCGACCCCTGCACTTTAATGAAACATGAATAGGCTGACACAGTACCCAAAATCGCAGTGGCAAGAACCGCATGACTTCTAATGGAAGGCTCCAGGCTGACTCACTGCACTATGGACGACCTCCGACTCCCTCAGTGTGAGCCATCGCGTCACGAACCAAGGTCTGATGGGTCGGACTCAGCGTTGGTGGCAACAGCTGAGCCGGGTCCCTGAGTGTCCCGCACTTGGTCACTTTCAGACGATGGCGATGGGCCGTAAGGACGAGCGCTGACGTACCTCTAGGAGTGATGGTGCAGCACAGCAGTTGCAAGGCTCAAATGGGTATGTATGCCACAAAGCTCAAGTGGCTCTTTGGGAAGCACCTGGAGCTGCTTTATTTTGCAAAGAGCTGCGGTCTTGGGCATGGGTTTCGACTGCCCCCTTCTGCAACGGTTGTGCCAGCGGGCGTGCAGCAACTGGAAGCATCAAAAGCAACCAATAAAACGATTTAAATAACGGCCTACTGCTTAATGCGAGCCCTGAGCACAGCGTTGCTGTCTGGAAGATGCCATGCGAGCTGAACTGTTCTGAACTAAGCAGAGCCGAGCCGAACTGAACAGATTTGAAGTAGTCGGCCTGTGCCCTGGAATGACGGGCAAACAACGACAACAACGACGACGATTGTTTTTACTGGACGCTGAGCGAGCGGGCTCTGCTCATAGCGGCGAATTGCCACTGCCATAGCACCAGGCTGTACAGAAATCAGAGCTTTGGAGAAATGAAGTGAGAGCCAAAAGAATGATCTTGTCAGGTTCATGCCTCGACCATGATGGGCATGGTCAAGGCGATGCCTGTAGGAGGGTCGGACCGTGTCCGGCCTGTGTGTAGACATGAATTGCATCAACAAATGTCACCGTGGAAGTTGTCTGTACAGGAAATCCAAAGATGCTTAGACAGATGTGACTGTACATCAGCTAGTCTCAGATGTTGCCGTTGCAGTCGGGCCCGGCTTGTACAATGAACTACCTCCGCCACCCTCAGTGTGAGCCAACGCGTCCGATGCTCACGAACCACAGTCTGTTGGGTCGTGCTCAGAGTGCCAGTCTAATGGCGTCCCACACTTGGTCACTCACGGACTGTGGCGATGCGCCGTAAGGTGCCGGGCTGAATGGGCAGCACAGGCTGGATGTTAGAGGAGCATGTAAACCTTAACAATGGGAGTGCACCGAGAGGTGAACACTGACTGACATGCAAGCGGCCATGCCCCAGGGCAGCAGAGGGCAGATGTCAGTTTTTCTTGCCTGCGGCTGTGCTTGTAAGGCTGCTGTGCGCGCCGCTCACCACTCACCATTGATATGCGTAATGGGTAGAATTTCACTGGGTACGGGAGGTGAATAAGTATGAAGGTCACAGGCAGGTCAAGCGTGCAAACGGTGAAAAAGAAGCAGACGAATGGACTGTCGAGACGACGACTACTTCTACTACTACTACTACCACTACTACTACCACTACACTACTACTACTACTACTACTACTACCACCACTACTACTACTACTACTACTACTGCTGCTACTACTACTACTACTACTACTACTCCTAGTCCTACTGCTACTGCTAC